ATTTAGATTAAATTTCAATTTTATCCATTTTTTTAATCTTTGAAAACAAGGATCCATTTTCTCATTTACATATAATTTGGCAATGACTCAAATGTTACAGTCAATAACTTAGCAAGAGAAAGAAGATGAGACTCTTGAAAGAACTTCACACTTTCCATAGCACAATTTATTTTTTATTGCTTTTTTGTGATCACTTTAAATATAAATTTTGGTAGAACATTGGCATATTTTTAGTTTAGTTTAGTTTAGTTTAATGACTAAACATAGGATCTTTTTGCTAGGTTTTGGATTCAACTCCCCTCTCCCCTTAACTACTCAATTTATTTTCTTGAAAAGGTGATTGGTTCGAATAAAATTATTAAAAAACGATAGGTATATTATTGATGAGGAGAGATTAAAATGACGAAGAAAATTAAATATATTTTATAAAATTTATGTTTCACTATTAATTTTTTAACAGTCAATGGTCAAAATTAAAAAAAAATACAATATTTACACAATTTAATTAAAAAATAGTTTAATGATCAAAATAGAAAAGAAATAATAGTTTGACAACTAATGTTATAGTTTATCCTAAATAATAATAAATATAATGTCGTTTTCATTAAGTGATTCAGGTTCAAACTACTTTATCAAGTATGTGAGTTTATTTATATTTAAATTCGAATACAAATACTATCTTACAATTATATTAAAATCTTAAAAATAGTTTAATATATCGAATGAATTTATTAGTTAATTCAATAGAATAAACCATATTAATTAGAGTAGCATTCTATCTCTTTCTTCAACTAATTTGATTTCCCTCGGTAAGTAATTTTAAACTTAATCTATTATTTAAAATTTTAATTATAATATACAAATATATTTAAAATATTTCCCAAGTCTCCTTGACATGGAGGGCACCCAACCCCACTCGCCAAAAATGAGATGAGAGGAGACCCTTCCAATCTAAATCAAGGAGTCAAAAATAATTAAACCCTAAAAGCCAACCTAAGAGGCTATGCCCACTCACATTTCCTTTCTTTTCAATATTTGGTACACACCTGTCAGTGTACCCACCAATCTCAAATCATACAAAACCTTTATTTTTATTGGCATCATACTATTATTCTTGTTTTCTTTAAAGTGGTATTAGGTGACGTTTGTTTTTCTCGAATGTTTATGAGGAAAATGAAATCTGTGAAGGAATTGAAATATGAAGGAATTAGAATCTGAATCTGAAACTTGTTTGGTTGGCAGGAAATTGAATTGGAATCCAATTTCATATTCTGTTTGGTTCGTAGACATGTCAGATGAATTTGATTTCAGTAATGTAAAATAACATAATTGTCCTTCTTCTTTTTTTGCTTAATTTTAGTTTGTTTTATAACTTACATGTAGTATATATATTATAAAAATTTAAAAAATATTAAATTTTCATTTTATTGATTGATTATTCATTTCAATAAATTATAAAAATCATACTAATAAACATCATAAGTTAAAATCATCCCAATTAGGGATGGCCATGGGTCGGGTTGGGTCGGATTTTTGATCCACCCGACCCGACCAAAATAAAGTTTCACCCGACCCGACCCTAATATATGAATTAAAAACCCGACCCGACCCGAAATAATAAAAAATATTTTTATTCAATAAAAACAGTGACTTAATTGAAATATATATATATATAGGGGTATTATTGTAATTATTTCTAAATATATAAGGTAAAATTATGTTTTTTTCGGATCGGATCGGGTATTTTTCACCCTAAATCGATCCCGACCCGAATATTACACTTAAAAAACTCGACCCGAATATCACACTTAAAAAAACCGACCCGATCCCATTTTTTTAAAAAACCAGACCCGACCAGACCCAAATATCAAACTTAAAAAAACCCGACCCGAACTCAAAATTTTTTAAAACAAATTTGACCCGATCCTGAATTTTTTTAAAAAAATCCGACTCAAATACCAAAAGATTGATGAGGGTAGTATGATCAAATTTCACATTCCCTCCTCCAAATGATTTCAATTCCATCATGTTATGGATGAAATTTACTTTCCCTCCCTTGATCGAATTGGATTCCAATTTCCCCTTTGAAAACTTGAACCAAACATGGGAATGTGGTGGAATTGGATTACAATTCCCCCTAATTCCAAGGGATTCCAACGAACCAAACGCCACCTTAGTGTTTTAAACGGGACAATTTATTTAATTAAAAAAATAAAGGGTAAACTACACAAATAGACACTAAAGTTTGAGTAAATTTTCCTTTTTCCCACTAAACTTTCAAAAGTTATAAATTAGTCACTAACATTGTCAATTTGTAACAAAATGGTTACTCGGCGTTAACAAATATTAACCTCAGTAACAGTAAGTTGAGTTGGACTGTTAAACGCTTATTTGGACTGTTGACCGTCACGCTGGACAACCATAAGAGTCCCTGTTTGATGAAGAAACACCAAAGATAGTTGTGTGCTTTTACCCGTTTCAGCTTTGGTTTTTGTTACTACCTTCATTGATTTTTGATCTTCCTTATGTGCTAATGGAGGGTTCTCTACTTCTGACAGCGGAGGCGTTGTTGTCGGAGGTGATAGTTCTAGAGTGGCAGCGATAGTTGTGCCCTCATATGGGTTTGGTTTCTCTCTAGCTTTGGGTGCATCTTGCTTTGGCTTTCCTCTTCTGCTTTCTTTTCCTCTACTTTCACCTCATCTGGTTTTGATTTTTTCGGTGGCTTCTCCTCCATTGTCATGATCTTTTTCTCAATCATGGATTCTGTCAGTGTCGAAGGTGCTTTCTCATCAACATAAAGTTATTAAAGCGACTGAATCATCAAACATGGACTCGAATGGTTCTCCAACATGGCGATCAACGATCCAAATAAGCGTTTAATGGTTAAGCTTAGCTTTTCGTTATCGAGGTTAAGACTATTAATGTCGAGTACATTTTGTTACAAATCAATAACGTTAGTGACCAGTTTGTAACTTTTGAAAGTTCAGTAAAAAATGAAAACTTATTCAAACTTTAGTGACCATTCATGTAGTTTACTCAAAAATCAATAATGTGATTATTCTCTTCAAATTGCCGAATATTTTAAAAAAATAAACTCAAATATTAAATTTTAAAAAATAGTTTGTCTTCAATAACTAATCATTTTTGTAATAAAATAAATTATATTGAACAATAGTTATTATATTTAACTTAAATTTATTAATTAATAAATAAAAAAACGGGTGATTATATTGGAAAACGTTATAATTATAAGTTTTCACGTACATTATTGATAGTATTTAATGTATTAAACATTAATTAAAAAATATTAAAAAGTTCAGAGATTTATTATTTAGCAGTGAAGATACATGTGATTTTTGTCCGGAAGGTGAGATGATTCCTACCCACTTCCATCAACTGTGGAAAAAGTTGTTTCTTTTCGGCGTAAAGAAGCAATGATGAAGATGCTGAAAAGAGGAAAACAATGCTACGTGGATTTTCATCACATTATTCCACTTAGTGGTGATTGTTTTCTTTTACCAAGTAGTGTTGAAAACTATTATTATATATTTCATTAGAAAAAACATTAATATTTAAAGAAATTTATTTATGAAGTAAAAAAATATGCATTAGATAATACTTTATATAAATAATAAGCAGGGAGAGACGTAGAAATTTATAATAAGGGTGTGAACATAAAAAATTATATTAAAAATTTAAGAGGTATAAGATTATAAAATCTCAGGGGTATAAAATTAAATAATTTATATAAAATATAAAAAAGAACTAATATATAAGGGAATTTAAAATTTCTAAAGGGTTCAATCTCACCGCATCACCCCCTTAGTCAATCCCTTATTATAAGTATAATAGCAAAATTAATCTCTAATATTCTTCTAAAATAATCACTTTAATTCCTTCTTTTTTTTAGTATTTTAATCTATAACGTTTTAATTATTGATCATAGTAATATATATTAAATGAAAATCATTAGTTGACTAATTATTATCGCATATTACTGATGTGATATTTTTATATATGTTTAAGTAATGACATAATATATGTCACATTATTCTTTTGGATGATGTGATATATATTATAACATAATTTTTAGTGACATGATATATATAAAATCATTAATTATTATAATATGATAAATGACAGTCATAATCTTGGATGTTGTGATATATATCATACTATTATTTTAGGTGATATGATATATATCACGTCATTACTTTAGTGATATGTCATGTGACATGTCATCGATTAAGTACGTATGAAAATGACACATCAACAACATATTTTGATAGTTAGTCAACTAATAATTTCATTTAACTTACATTAATCGTAAATCAATTAATAATTTTTATCTAAATTATATTGCTTATTAGTCAATTAATAATTTCGATCCAAATTGCTATCTTTAAGGTTCATAATCATTATACTATAAAATCTTATATAATTCAAATCTCATATTTTATTATAAAGTCTTGCACATTGATCATAGAATTTAATAATAAAACTGTATAGTTATTTTTAAGAAATTATTTAATAAATTTATAATCCAAATCTCATATTTTATATTTTATCTAATAAAAATGTTATATTTTATAATTTATTATTCTATCTTAATCCGTGGGATATTGAGGAAAAGTGGTAGATGTTGAGAATTGAAGGTGTGGAAGTTTTGCTTTTGTTGGGCCATGGACAATTTCAATGTTTAAAGGATACTTATTGCGAACCTTATAGCCCATAACCAAGTTCAAGACAATTGGATATTGTATGCATTTCGCAATCAAGAATGGACACGAAGCATTCTCTCGCTTGTAAAAAGCTAAAATACTATGAGATAAGATAAAAGCAGCTCCTAAGCATTTAGGAATCCAGGTTGGATTTGGTGTAAGCTGCCAAGTAACAGTATTGCACGGCACACACGTAGCAGAATTATTTGGCGGACTCCTGTGCTTGGAATATAAAGCCACTTGGCCTCGCTGCACGCTGTACGTGTCTGGATAAGTATACATGTTCATCAACCCTATATTCTACCATTATACCTAATTAGTAGTAAAGTGAAATAAAGAAAGAATGTCAGGGTCACAGGGAGCGTTGCCCAAGGAGTCGAGGACTACAACAACATATGAATCAGTGCAGGGAGGAGAGAACAAGAGCAAGACGGAGCTGAGGTCCAAGGAGGATGAGGGTGGCATTCAGGTTGACAGACTGGAAGACAAGGTCAGAGATCCTGGTGGAGAAGGTGGCCCTGTCTTTGGCAATCCCTCTCCCGACCATGACGGCAACCAAGATTTGGGCGTTACCGGCACAGCCTAGCTTTTCCTTTTCTTTTACATGGTTTATATAGTAAGATGTAATATATGTACGTATGCACCTACTTGAAATAACACAAATTTGCTCCTTATATGTATGCACGATTGCTCTTCAGTTGTATTGTGTGATTTTTTTATGACTCAAACTAACTTTTAATTTATTAATGAATTCGCTCCTTGTAGATTTTTTATTGTTTATTAATTGTTTTTTTAAGTAAATAATGAAGAACTTTTAATTTATTTTAAAATTTTAATTATTAAAAATTAATTTTCGTGATTTTATCCAATAATAAGGAACTTAAAAACTGTCATTTTATTAATTCATAACAACTTGTTTTTTTTATATAGTATTTAAATGACTTAAATTTGAGACAATTGTAGTTCTGTAATTTTACGAACTCTTAAATTATTATGAATTCAAGCTCACTTCCTCAGGAAGTGTTATCAAATCTAGAATTGCCATCTTATTTCAGTTGATTTTAAAGGTATCTATTTAGCCATGTAATACATATTTCGTAATTATTTTTAATAATAATCAAGTTAATATAACTGACTATCCCAAAAGAGAGTTTTATAAGAACAATGCAACTCAATAAATGAAGTTTAGAGTTAATTTAGAAAATCATGGTTTGAGATTAAAAAATTAGATTGATTTATAATTTAAAGTAATATATTATTTATATTTTATAATCACGTCATAATTTTTTTTAAAATTATACTTTGTTCAAAGTTAAATATTTTAATCCTAATCAATATTTATAATGATAAAAAGGAGCTTTGTATTTTGAGAAGATAGAAAACAATAAAACAAATCCATATAATAATGAATACAGATATGATCCAAGTACCAGTCTCCATCAACCACAACTTCGAAATAAATAAAATAATGAAATGAAATAATTTTAAGTAAATAGATAGAGAAGGAAATTATCTGTAAAAGACACCGTGTCATAAGCTATACCTGTATTGATTCCTCCGACGTCTTCAAATCCAAGCTATGGCGAGCTTATGGCGAGCAGAAACGGCGCTGACGGAGAAACCGAACAACTACGACGGCGTGGAATTCTGGTTGAATCCGGAACGAGCTGGCTGGTTAACGAAACAAGGTGAGTACATAAAAACCTGGCGTCGCCGCTGGTTCATTTTGAAACAGGGGAGTCTGTTCTGGTTCAAGGAGTCAACAATAACACGCGCTTCTCGTCCCCGTGGTGTGATCACAGTTGCTACGTGCTTAACCGTGAAGGGAGCCGAAGATACACCGAACAAGGAGTACGCTTTTGAGCTTTCCACGAGGAACGACACCATGTACTTCATTGCAGATTCGGAGAAAGAGAAGGAGGATTGGATCAACTCCATCGGACGGTCCATAGTTCAGCACTCGAGATCGGTTACCGATTCCGAGATCGTTGATTATGATGGCAAGCGGTGATGATCCAACAATCAGTCAGATCCGTTTTCTCCTAATAGCAGCTCTTGGCTTTATAATACCGTCGTTTTTTTTATTTGCTTTTTGTTATAAGTAAATATGTGAAATATTCAGTCTGTTTGGCAATTATCAGATTGTTAATTGTTTCTTTCTTTTCATATATCTAAAGTTCAGTTTTGTTCTGGAACACGAGCTTTATTACATAACCCATATAAAAAACGTTTAATATTTTACATTTTGGAAACACGAGCTGCTGTGGTGAATAATAGTTAGGTAGCATAATCATTTATTTACGAATGCAGACTCAGCCAGGTCAATGGAACGAGCAAGGCCCGCAGCTTTGTTTTGGCATTCCAGGTGCTCAGCATCAGGATCACTATCCGCAACAACTCCGGCACCAGCTTGAAGATAGGCTACCCATTCTTGGCGTCTGTCAGAACCTTTATATGAGTACATAGTGTCAAAACGGGGTACCGTAGTGAATACCATAGTCCTGAGGGCCAAAGCAATATCCATATCGCCGGTGAAAGAAATGCCCCCGAATCCTCCACTGTACGGGCCTCGTCTTGAAACCTCTAACTCATCAATTAGCTCCATGGCCTTCACCTTTGGTGCTCCACTGACAGTTCCGACTGGAAGTGCAGCACGGAGGGCATCCCAACTAGTGAGATGATCTTGCAACTCACCGGTAACCTGCATAATTCGAGTTTCAGAAAAGAAGAAAGACAATTTACTCGTATGTTCACACTAAAAGATAGTTCAAAACAAATTCCTTGGACTGTAGGACTTTTGAACCAAAATGAAGCAAACAACTAATCGGAACATAACATCCTAATAAATAATTCGATTAAAATTATCAAGTTTAAGCCAAAACCAATAACATCGTTTCGTACCGTGGAGCTTATGTGCATCACATGTGAATATCGTTCAATATTCATCAGCTTCTCCACCTTCACAGAACCATATTTGGAGACCTAAAGCAATAACACGCGTTAGAAGACAACTGGTCACATGCCTTTTGGCAGTGAAGAAGGATGAACTGTGAAGATTAAAGTGCAAGTACAAAACTCATTTCTTGGGAAATAGAATGTGTCATGCACAGGGAAAAAATTAGAATGATGTAGAAACTATAAAGATAGAGAACAAAAAGAGTTGATCCCAAAAAGCATTGTAAGATATGCATAGTTGACATTGCTGAGGGAAAAACCTTTCCGACATCATTGCGTCCCAAATCAACAAGCATGACGTGTTCTGCACATTCCTTTTCATTACTTAGCAATTGTTTTTCCGCCATCTCATCTTCAGCCGGTGTCTTTCCTCTCCTTGCTGTTCCTGCCAGTGGCCTATTCACAATCTTATTCTGTTCATGCCAAAATAGCTAAGTTTAGTTCTCAAGGATTTAAATCAAAGGGGAAATTCAGCAAGGAAAAAAAAACCCATAAAATTTACCTTCTTTACCCTGGTAAGAATTTCAGGACTCGAGGCAACTAGAATACCCCCTCTAGCCTGAAAGGGATATGAAATCATAAAATGACTTATAATTCACAGATTCACAACAAAAGAAGTAACTAAAGAGCAAACTAACTTGCAGGTAGGCCATATATGGACTGGGATTCACGACTCGCAAAGCTCTATATATTTCAAAGGGGTCAGCAAATGTCCTCCGTTCAAAACGCTGACTTAATACAATCTGGAAAATATCTCCAGCCAAAATATGCTCTTTCGCCTTTAGTACAGCTTTCTTGAACTCTTCACTTTCCATATTTGAATTTTTTAAAGCAGGGCCAAAATGATGGGTTTGTAAATCTACAGTCCCCGGAGATAGCTTTGGACTAGGAATAAAATCAAGAAAAAAAAGAGGAAACTGATATGTCAGAGAAATTAAAAGGCATCTGAACATGATGAAAACCGGTGGTGCAGTATAACAGTAGCTCACAGCTCAATATCATGTACTCTAGCCACCAACTTCTCTAGGTGGTCAATTCCTTCAACGTAAGCTTTTTCAACAGAGGAGTGTCGATCTAACCTCACCCAATGAATTACATATGCTTTCTGCAAATAAAAGGAACCGTTAATATTACTCTATCCCACTGTCTTTTCCGGAAGACTTGATAATTGAAACTAAAATCCTGAACTTAGTACCGCTGACAAGACAAAGTGCACTGTTGAGTAAAAGGATTACCTTTTCCACATGATCAAATACAACCACGTCATTGTAGAGGCCTAGATGTATATCCGGGAGATTTCTGTCATCATGTGGTGCTTTCGAGAATGGAAGCTTTTTCTTCTCCACATACCGAACAGTATCGTAGGAGAAATAACCAACCCATCCACCTACACAACACGGGAATTACAACAAAATCTGAGTATACAGATTTTATAGAGAAGCCATATGAATCCATAATAAAAAGACAGCTTTCCTACTGTTATGAAAACTAATTACTTGCAGCAGGAAAATCTAAAAAAAAAAACCCTCAATCTAACAGGTTAAGACACTAGACAAGATGCTGGTTTTATACAAGAAAGTAGCTTAATTTCACATTTCTTTTTTACCTCTGAAGGTATAAATTAACATATTTGCAATATAGGGTACTTTCATTCAAGTTCTCTATCATTTCTAACTAAATACAGAACTTAAGAGAGCATTTACATCCTATCTATTCAACAATTCTAACCATCCTTTGCAGGCACACATCACATACTTATAATGCTCAAATTTTTTAAGGTTCATTCAGTCAATAGGTCCAACTAACTCCAAAAACCTGAATTTACTGCATTATCCCCCTTTTCATAACAATGTCTCAACTTTCATGTGTCATTAAACCATAAATAAGCCGTTAAATTATGTACAAGCCGACAACCAACTAATTATCGATCGATTTTCCTTGATTTGAGGATAGCAAGTAAAGGCAAACAATCAAGACGGAATTGCAAGATCATCAACAGACAAAAGAGCAATCATTCTCACCACAAAATGCATCAGGAAGATCGTCAACAAGTTGGGGTTTCCAAGTCTCCGATATTCTCTTAGGAATAGACATGGGATCTTCAACAATCTCCTCAGTCAAACACCCCGCCTCATGATCCATAAACATAACCTTGTTTTCTTTTGCTACAATTTCCATCGTTGGTTGAGCTCCAACCACGCTAAAACGACCCTGATACAATCAAATCCCAACAAAGAAGAAAATCATATAAATGTAACCATGAAGATACTTAAAAAAAAAACAAGCGTATGTAAAAGCTCTTACAACACTAGAAGCCCGAGAACCGGGTTCGACCGACTCAAAGAGGAAACTTGGAGCCTCTCTATCATCTTCTTTAACCAAACAGCGGTATGCAAGCACTGGAGTCAGCTGATCAGAGAAAATGCAACGATAAAGGGGCACTAAATTCCCTTTTTTGGCCGCCTCCACAAACTTCCATTCATCAGTAACTGAAAGAAAGAACAGGAAAAAAATCACACAAAAAAGGGTCAATTTGCAGTTTGATGAATGGAAGTATAAAACAAAATTTTCCGAGAATTTAAATCCGTCTTTCCTACATTTTCTCAGTACACACACGGTTGAGAAATCAAGGGTTTTTTTTTTCAAATTTAAGATCTCAAAACAAAGCCCAAAAAATCATTAGTATTAATAAAAAGATTAAACAACAAATACAAATCAGATTCTTTTTAATTTAGTATTAGTCTAATTTTTAATAAAGCAGTTGGCTTTCACCATTTCACCTCGATCATTTCTTTCACTCAATAGTGTAATTCGAAAAAGCTCAAAATTTTCTTCAAGTTTCCATCATTTTCTCCAGGGCCAAACAACAAAAGGAAAATAATATTAAAAATTTACCGAGTGGAGTGCTTGAGATAGAGCTCCTGCATTTGAGTGCAGTACGGAAGGAAGTTGGAACCGGAGAAATGCGGGTGACCGGAAGTCGAGAAAACCGAGGAGTTGAAGGATACAGTCGGTGAGGGAATCCACGGCCACTTTGCATTGACATTGTTAACGTGGAGTTCATCGAGGCAACTGACATGGCAAGATTCAATCTTGAAAGTGAAAAACTTCCCCTTAAGAAATGGGACCGGAAAACTGAGGTGAAGAGATACAGCCGCTTCTCACAAATTTCATAATTTATAATGGTGTGACCCTTCACGTAAGGTAAGGTTAACAAAATAACCAATAACCCGATAAAAACAAAATATAAAGATAAAATTAAATTAAATTAAAATTGGAAAAAATCCAAAAAAAGGAAGAAAAAAAAGCGTCTCTTCAACTTACGTGGATTTACTCATTGAATTGTTCGTAATATTTTATCTTGTTAAAATTGATTTTTTTTTATTTTAATTTAACACAACTAGTGATATTGTTAGTATGTTTAAAATGGTAACTAGGTTTGTTATTAACAATAAAATGACTGCGTTGGTTATTTTTTACTATTATTTTATTTTTATAATATCATTAAAATATTTTTTATTATTAAAATGGTAGGGTTAATTTAGATTTTCTACTTTTATAATGTCAGTTGAATACTTTAAAGTATTTTAAATTAAATTTCACTTTATCAATTATATAATAACAACTAATGATATTATTAATTATGATAAATTTGAAATTACAAAAATAAAAATAACATAATAAAATAACTGAAACCAAATTAGACCATTGTTGGTGTATATATATATATATATATATATATATATATATATACTTTAACTTCTTATTTTTTTAGTAAAAAATAAATATATATTACTGTTAATATAGGTTTGTTATTAACAATAAAAATTATGATTCACTTACACTCATCATCGTGTAAAATTAAAAAGTTTTACATCTTTTATTTTTTAACTTATATAAGTTTGTTGGATGGATAAAAATAGACTCATACTAACTTCTTATTTTTTTGGCAAAACTTTCGAGATAATGTTCTGAAAGAAATTAATTCACGAGCTAATGCACTCCCAAGATTAATTGCTCAAATAGGGTGAAATCTACAGTGTTGGCCGTAGGTCGCCATGCACTCCGGGCGACCTACCCTTGCTCAAACAGAGAGAATGAACGTGTTGCATGGCACATGCACGTCCCAACACATAGGTCGACATGCCCTCCGGGCAACCTTGTAGGTCGCCATGCCCTCCGGGCGATCTTGTAGGTCGCCATGCACTCCAGGCGACCTACCCTCGCTCAGCTTCCCTCGGATTCCCTCGCATAGCTCGCTCAGTTGTCCTCGGATGCCCTCGCATAGCTCGTTCGGATGGCCTCGGTCGGATGGCCTCGGATGCTCTCGGATGGCCTCGGATGCTCTCGGATGGCCTCGGTCGGATGGCCTCAGATGCCCAGCGTGTTGGGACGTGCATGGCACATGCAATCTCTTGTAACTCGCCGGGAAGACATGGCGACCTAGTAATTAATCTTGGGAGTGCTTTATCTCGTGAATTAATTTTTTCCAGAACATTATCTCGAAAGTTTTGCCTATTTTTTTAATGAACATATTATCATTTATATTGTTAATATTAATTGTCTATTTCCACTCAATTAACGTTTTAAATCTCTGTAAAATTATATGTATATATATATATGCTAATAATTAATAGTTAATTTTGCAATTACATAAGTTTTATAATGAGATTTCAACTTGATTAAACTTTAAAAGGTTTGTATTACGAAATCTGATTTACGGAGGAGGTAACTTTTTTAATATTTTAATGTGTTTACATGATAATATATGTTATAATCTTTAGTATGTATAAAATTCATTAATATTTTACATATTTGATTTATGTCCAATTAACTTTTAAACCAAATGTTTTTTTCTAAATTATGTTTAAGTTTAACCAAAGTAAATTATTATAAAAATTGAATAATTCAAATTCACTAAAATATAAACTTAAAATCTCAAAGTTCTAATTTTTCTTTCCATCATACACAGCATTGCTGATTAAATGAATCCTTTTAATAAGACATAAAAAGCTCCCTTTTATGGCACTAAATTCATGGTTTTGTTTAATTAGACTTTTAATGAAAGTTTATCTTTTTCTTATGATATTATAAGTAGGATAGATTACACCTCAAATTTTATTAAATTATCCAAAACTTTATTATTAAATATAGAAAAAATGTATTCTTTGGATAAAATATTCAAACCCTACAGTTTTAATAAAACTCGCTTAACGTTTATCATACGTTTGAATATTTTTTATTAATTTGAATAGAAAATTTTAAACACAAAGAAAATTGAATATGAGGAATTTAAATTTTGAAAATGTTAGTATTTTAAAATACATATTTTTACAATATTATTATATACATAGTTATTTTATAGATAGTTATTATTTATGGAAAAATATGTTATTAAAATTTCATAAATTAAAAATATAATTATAAAAGAAGAACAATGATATTAATATATAGATATAATCAGATTTCTAAAAATATATAATCATCTTTAATAATATACAATATAATATATGTTAGAAGGAAATAAAAAACTATATTTTGAATTTCAAATTTTTAAAACAACTAATTTTATTTTATTTTTTAAAATTGAAAACCCATACAATCGTGTGAATATAATTTTCTGTTAAATGAATATTTATTATCTCTAAAGATTATTAGTTTAAACATAATATTTACAGTAACATTCGAGTGTTTATTTTTAAAGAGTTAAAAATATTTTCAACAAAAATTATATTATAATTCCTTCAAAATATATATATATATATATATATATATATATATATATATATATGTGGAGAGAGAGAGAGAGAGAGAGAGAGAAATGTGGTTCACATATCCTCACTGTAGAGAGGTAATTCAGCCTTCATGGGATAACTGTACAGTACGTTCCCGGCGTACTGTTTTGTTCAAAAGCTCAAAATTTCTATAAATAATTTCATGGAAAGAAGAAACAGAAATCTGAAAACTCTGCAGAAAATGTCTTTAACCCACGTGTTGATTTTTTTGGGAGATATTTTTTATGGCTATTTGACCAAACTAACTTTAACGAATATTTATCTTTTTGACATCGTTTAATATATATTTTTCGAAGTGGTATCTTTTTGGTTGAATTAGTAAAAGGTGTGTCCTCGGGGACGCGTTTTATCCGTGTTTTCACTGAGTTGGATGTCACGTGTGGAAGGCGCATCTCCGGGGACGCGCCTTCACTGACTCGACTTACACGTGTGGAAAGCGCATCCCCGGGGATGCGCCTTTTATTAAATGCCATAAATGCCCCAATCCGTTTTCCCTAACTACCCATCTCCTCCCCTATATAAACCCCCTCAACCCTCCCTCATTCTTCACACCAAAATCATATTCTCATCTCTTATATAACTCAAATTCTCCAACTATTTGAGTTTTAAATTTGTTATTAGTGGTAAGAAATTTAATTTTATGTTAGTCTTTTTTTAAATAGTTATTATATTTTATATTAATATATTTATGTAAATATTATTTTTTATTAAAATAATATTTATATAATTATTATTTATTTAGAATTATTAATTTTTTTTTGCTAATTATATTGTTTTGTCTACAATTATAATGGAAAACGAAATGCTGTTGCGATTGGATATTGATCATATCTCCAGACATTTTAGCGATATGGTAATATTTTTTATAATTAATGTTAATATTTAAATTTATTTTTATTTTAAAGTTATTATGAATTTATATTAATTTTTATTTTTTATAATATATATTATTTAGGATACTGATCGTATTTTAGAGACTTTTATTAAAAATCCACGTATACCGACACCGGAACGTATTTTGCCATATTTGGCTTCTGCCGGGTTCGGGTATATTACAACAATTATAGGCGGTTGCAAACTCGAACCTGTCCGAATTTCTGCACTAATTGAGAGGTGGAGGCCCGAGACACACACTTTTCACCTTCCATGTGGAGAGGCCACAATTACATTGGAGGATGTCTCTATGCATCTGTGGCTTCCCGTCGACGGAAATATGATGTGTGGTATGACGGATGGTGATTGGAAATCAATGTGCATTGATTATCTTGGAGCTGCTCCGCCAGATTTTAATGGAGGTAGAATAGCTTTATCTTGGTTGAAAGCTAATTTTGAGGTTTTAAATGAAAATGCTTCAGAGGATCAAGTAAAGGCATGTGCTCGGGCATATATTCTACGAATAATTGGAGGAATATTGATGCCCGACAAATCTCGCAACCAGGTGCATTATATGTGGTTGCGGCATCTGATCGATTTTGATGAAGCTGGAAGATATAGTTGGGGCACTGCAGTTTTGGCATTTCTCTTTAGAGAAATGTGTCGGGCGACGAATTATAAGAAAACTGCTATCGGTGGATGTCTTCTGCTCTATAATCATGGGCGTGGTTCCGCATGCCTTTTTTATGTCCGATCGTGAATGAACCATACGTATTCCCCTTATTATTGAGGTAATTTTCGAACTAAATTTTGATTTAAATATTTTCAATTAAATAGGGTGATATTTAGTTTATATTATATTTCATAGGTGGTCGATGAAAAGAAAGGACCATAAAAGTATACCTACTGGGTTAGAGGAAATTCGTTTACTTATTGATACGAAAGCTGGGTCTGAGGTATGTTTTTAAATTTGTTTAATTATTAATATTTTAATTTAAAATGCTAGATATAATTAGAATATTTTATTTATTTGAATTGTATATTTATATTTCAGTTTCAGTTGATACCTTATGCGAGCGATGAAGTAAAAGCTTGCATCCCACCCCACCTTAGTGGGTCATTAGAGGTATGGATATCGGTTATACCTCTTATATGTTATGCTATTATTGAGTGGCATCCAGTTGATCGCGTGCTCCGTCACTATGGTTGTACGCAATATATTCCTGGAGCACCTAGGAATTTAGACGACGTGCATAACATAGATAGACGAGGAAAGAAAGATGTTAACTGGGTAGTGAGACACAGAGATTGGATTGCGCTTTGGGAGAACCGATATACACTGTTGGCCCCTCGACAATATTACGCTGAAAATGGTCATATGGTTACGGATAACTATATGGACTGGTTTAATGAAAATGGGAAGACGTTTCTACTT